TCAATCTTCCCAAAGAAGCCTTTCTATTCTTAACTTAATATCTTAGGATGCCGGTATTTCAACATATATATGTATAAATATAAATGATTCTCATTAATATGGTTATGGGCAGTATCAACAGGAGATCAGGCAAGTATTGCCTTGTAAGTTCCTCCAGAAATAAATCAGTAACGCGAAGTAAATTAATCCGAATGTCGGTTTATTGGCGTAGACAGAAAGGTTATACAAATATTTGGGCCAAAGTGCAGCAGCCGTAGCAGCATAAATGCCAACAGGGATCCAGTATTAGATAGTGGTGTACCGTGTAACCCCAACATAGGCCAAACAATCTAAAAAATCAGGACCTGCTCTTAACCTAATAAAGTCTTCGAGATTCATAAGAGGATGGTTTCCGTGTTCAAGATTTGCCGCGGTAGATCTTCATAACTGAAGAAAGGCGGTTGTTGGTTTCAGTGGGATACCGACCCATCCATCCATCAGACAACCAGAGGTACAATTAACTAATAGATGGTTTTGGCAACCGACTTCTTCAGAAGTGGGTCAACGAGGAGTATTCACATCTGCCAAAACCTCCTACGCATTAATGGTGCCTGGTGATAATCTGTTGGATTCCGAAATGATTGATTCAGAAATCCCGCTTGAGCAGACATCCTACTGCATCAGAATTAGTTGATTCCACACGCTGCAGCACCGTTGACGTGTGCAGGGATAGCGAAGTAAGCTGTCGCCACCTCCACTAAATTATCTTGTCCTCCACTCACTTGCCGTGATGACTAGACACTGTCAGGACCGGGAGTGAAGCAAACACAGTTACTGACAAAAGTCGATGTCCCATCTGCGTGTGCCACACATGGCTCAAACTGATTCTAGTGGAGAGTGGTCGCGCATTATTGACCCCACCAGAACTGAATCGATCGGACACGAGGGTTAACGCAGCAGCGTTTCGCGCATGTAATGTCAACATGGACATCGGTCAGGTCTAACCCAACGTGACTTTAAACCGATTAAACCACAGCACTACAACTACATCCATCAATTCTCATAAAGTAAGCTTAATGCCCAGGCAGGATTTCTTAAGTAATTAATGAATCGACCCAAGTGAGATTAAACTCACAGTTCGAACATTAGATGTACATAAGTTTTTCGCTTTCTGGTGTGGGTTCGAATCTCACCGAGCCCGCCGAGGTTTTTGCAATTGTCTCAATAAGTTATTAGTGTCTGGCAAAACCCGTACTGGTAAATTTATATGTCGTGGTAGTTCGGTAAACATTTCAAAATCACGAATACGGTGCATATGTCACAATAGGGGGCTGGTTTGTGAAAATTATGTTCATTCTAATTTGATTAGGCACCCAAGAGATGTCCCAGCCCACAAAGAATGGGTTCAAACAGTTCTACTACATGTGCAGGCAGCTAGGGAGTGTACTGACAGTGGATAAATTTGTTCAGAACTCCACAATCAGCTGAAGATCAGGTTGATAATTTGTAGGTATTTTCGATCGTTCTAATTTAAGTCGAATTACCATAACGTACCATAAACATGGCGCAAACTTTGCCTTCCCCGAAAAGAACGTAAGACTTGTTAACATCCGCTGATGGTGAACAGAGAATGAAACAACCTAATAAATGCTGTTAGACAACCGCTAAGCGCGGTCATAGGTATTTTTGTATTATCTTCGTATCTCATAATAAGATGAAATTGATGCCATCAATACCCTTTTATTCCTATTTTGCTCCTCTTTTAATGCATGAATGTCAGGCTCCTAGAGCCACATTTTTAACTAGTCATGGAGCCTGTAAAAAAGTTTGAACTTTACCATCAACATTTGCTACTTTTTGATAAGAAAACGTTTTGCCTAAACAAATAAGTCACTCAAAGAGAAACTTCAGATTTAAAGTTGGGCGACAAAAGGAACAAACAGTAAGTGAATAGCATAGGGAGCAGATGAGTGGGTCCAAAGGCACTTACCATTTTCAAGTTCATCCCAATCTGGATGCAGTTTCAGTCGAGTCAATAGGCTTTCCGCGTCATTGTCGTAGTCCTAGAAGTAACTTGATGAACAGTGCCTCAAGTACCTTTTCAAAATCGTCTCGTAAAACCATATAGCCGAGGAGTTGTTGTTCAAGTGGTTCGAGGGGAACTTTCGAATTCTTGTCTGGACTACTCTGAGGCGAATTGGTGTGGTCAGTAACGTGGCTCGGTTTACTAACACCATTGGAAAGGACTTTAGCCAAGACACCGTGAAGGTAAAAGGTGTTATAGTGATCGAAACATTCTTTGGGGCTTTTCTTGACACATTTATCGGACACGTCCTCCCTGAAAATCTCTAAGGTTAGTCAAAAGCCCTTACCAATTTCCAAGCCCGTACTGTTCAATTGCATCCAGCAAAGACAAGTCTTCCTCGTCTGACCATCCATCGAGTATACCCTTTGATGTAGGGAGCTTTGGCCATAGAAGAAAGTTTGGAAATACCAACCTTTACAGTATATTTATGCGTTCGCTTATGATGTCCTGCCTCAGCTCCACAAGAGAAACACTAAGCAGATCATGGGGCATATTATAGCTTACAAAAGTACACAGTTTGACATTTCTACATTCGGAGCAGTTTATAAAAATTGGCAAAGGAGATTTTAAACAGTAACTACAATACAAATCACTGACAAATTTGTCGGTCATATCAGTAGTCCATACAAACACTGTTTTGAAAACTTCGGCAACGAGATGGGCATCGTATAATGCGAGGATAAGGATTTTTGATCTATACGTTTACCTTCAACGATGTGGACTCCGAAAAAATGGGGCACTTTCTCAATATTATTAAGAGGCCAGCCATAAAAGTTTGGCGTGCACTGTCATACAAGATCCGCCTAAACAAACTTAATCTCTATCCTATGAATACTAGTCAGTTGCGTGGAGACTTAACATCAACCGTTCATCACGTGCGTGGCTTTAATTATGCCCTCATGCATGCTGAATTTTCAAAATTGGCAGCAACAACAAAGGTCCGTGCATCCTTTCGGGAATGGAGCCATTTTTGCTGAAAGTTTAATATTTTCCATTCCAAATATAGCATTCCTCTCTCTCTTTTTCTCTTTTTAAGATTACTTGTGTCCAAGAAGATTGAATGTTAACAAATAAATTGCATACTAAAGGCCCAAGGAGCTATTTCTTTACAAACTTACTGCTGTCGTTCAAAAGAATACACATTTGTTAATCACAGATGCTAGTACGTAACTATGTAAAAACAGGAAGGACTAATATGTTACACGTAGTAAAATATTAAGCCAGATTTGTAGGTCCTTGTTACTTTCCTTTTAAGGTGTGTAACTGATCTAAGTGTGTTTAAATTTGCTCTTCGTATTGAGTGTACACTTTTTGAAATTCGCACAATTCTCCCGGCAGCACACTCGTGGCGTGGTTCTGCAGTCCTTGCATTTTCCTGCATTTCCTTTTATTACCTGGCTAACGGCAGTACTTTGCCGACCAACCTGAGGCTCAGAATCAACAGTCAGTGGCTGGAACTCCAGCGATCCACGGTCTCCAGCGAGCCACCGATTTCCATAAATAGTAGGAGAAAAAATTGCTTAAATATGTAGTTAGAATTATATGGTATGATATGAAGCAGTTAGATTGGATCCTGGCGTGAGGAGGTATTATTTCTCAAACCGTGTCGTAGAGCAGTTGAATACCCTGCCCAACGCGACTGTAATGTTTCAATCCGTGGGGGCATTCGAACATCGGATTGGCCTCCATATGCTCCAGTATAGCGTGGGCTGTGTGCTACGAATGTCGTGAGATTCCTAGCTCAAGTGGGTAGAGCGTTGGCTTGGCTAAAAGGCCACTCTCCTATGCGGGTTCGAATCCCGCCGAATGCCGCGATTTCTTTCACAATTGGGTCAACTAAATTAACCAAATCTGTCAAACCAACTTAATAATAAATTAACCAAATCTGCCAAACCAACTAAATAATGAATGACTAATGGTTTATGGAGGCAGAAAACTGGCAAGAGAGAGCGTTTAGATGAGGAGGATGCAGGAGGAGGTATAATTAGTGCGGAATCTCGTAAATTTTAGAGACGAATTACGGGGATAATGACAGAAAGCTTGGGAATATTTTTATTATTATTAAGGCCAAGTAGGAGATAAAAGTCTGCTTCCCATCTCCTGAACCAAATATGATTTAGTTTTGTTAATTGGCATTTGTTTGAGTCGAAAGTATTTAAAAATATCCGATAAAGCAGTTTTCTTCCTTGGATATTTTCAATTTCTGAACGGCTAGATTCGTTCATCAGACCGAAGAATGGGCAACGATATTCTAGAATGGGAATCAAAAACGTACGAAAGAGTCTTAATTTCACTTAAGGAAAGTAGAAGTTATAAGAAATAAAGCTGCGAATCTGGGAAGCTTTTGCCGTAATTCTATCGGCATGAGGCCAAAGACCTGATTTATTTGTGTAGCTTAAACGTAAGTAATTGATGCTGAAACATTCAGTCCTTGGGCAACTTTGAAAAAAAAACAGGTTGTGGCAGCTTTTCAGTCCCAAACCACATGTATTGACAATTGAAATCTGAGAACTCCATCTGCAATGATGAGTCCCTCTCCGAAAGAACGTCCAAATCCGAATAAAGTTGTTTTAAGTATCGCTTAACCATAGAGTTAGAGAAGAAGTAAACACACTTAAGATCATCCATATAAATATTACATTAAAAGTGTTTAACTCTCAATGAAATTTCAGTTATGTAAAACAAGATCAACAAAGGACCTAACCCGGTACCTTGAAGGACACTACTGAAAATGATCTAATAAAGTCGGTTGACTAGAAGCCGCCTATAAGGTACATTGCTTAACTAAGATAAAAAGGCTAACTACCACAGATAAATGATCATTACGAAGAAAATTAAGTAGATTTAGAAGTAAATATACCTCCCAAATGCGTTTTTATTGCGTTTTTCGAGTTCGCCATTATGAACTCCTTGGGTAATCCGTTCCAGGCACAGATTACTTGCTGTGAAAACGAAAGTTCGCAGATATCCAGATGGGATAAGGTCCCTCGGGGTTTGCAGGAATTCCCACTAAGGTTAGTTGATGTGGCGAATGCAAAGAAGTTTTCAGAGTACATGGCACAGTCCCGATTCCTCATGAGCCGGTAGGTCTGCATGAGGTCACATCGGATTTGCCTGTAATCAAGAACATAAAGGTTGAGTGCATCAAGTCTGTATTCGTAATATAAGCACTTAAAGCCCTTCAAACCTTTGTTGCACTCCTATGAACCTTTTCCAGTAGCTTTTAGTTTTTTGCAACCACGGGCTGCCCGCCCGCAAACAGAACAGTGGTTGCGCTCTTAGCAGCCCTAACACTATGCGAAAAGGGCTGCAGTGATTGCACGATTGTAATTCTCAGGTCCTTTTGTTCAGTTACGTCCGACAGGCACCTGTAATAAGCTAAGTAGTTGTGAGATTCGCCCTTCGCGCTCGCCTTCTTCGTTATGAGCCGCAGTCAGATGGAAGGAGGCCTCCGTCAGAGGACAGCTGAAAAATATGTTTTAGCGTTCTGGAGTGTTCCGAAGCCAGCTCTTGCAGTAATTCTGTCGGTATTTCGTCCGGACGCGGACACCTAACTTTGTCAAGCACAAGAAGTCAATCTTGTTTCACTAACCTACTAACATGCATAGAAAACTGGGGGAATTTCTTGAAACTGGATTTAGTGGTCAAGGCGATCAACATCGACTTCTTTAAAGCCCTCTAAGGACATCCATGCATACGACTGATCTCGAAGTTGCATCAAATACAATAAAGCAGTAAAATAAGACAGCTCGAGCACTCTCGTTGCACCAGTCATCGAGATGTTTTTATTTCTTCCTACAGCACGCACAGTTAAGTACCGTCAATTATTTTCAGTAAACGCCATATCCTTCTGGAATAAGCTGCCCAGAAGTATTAAAACCCAGCAAAGCTACCCTTTGTTTAAGGGGGATATCACTAGTTTTCTACATTCAGGACAACGTTCACGAATTTTGAGTGCTGACTCGGTGGAATCTCTCTTTCACTCTGATGGC